GAACGCGCCCTTGCAACTTGCCGACAAACGATATATACCGCTTTTCTTACGCTACGTTGACGACACTTTTACCGCCGTACACAAAGACGAAATTGACGCTTTTTACGACCACCTTAACGAAGAGAACGCCGACATCCAGTTTACCAAAGAAATCGAAGAAAATGGAAAACTTTCTTTTCTAGACTCTTTGGTAATTAAGCCGCGACAACAAAGAACTGCGAACGACAGTGTACAGAAAACCGACGGATACCGACAGATTACTTGACGAATCATCCTACAACCCGACTTCACACAAAGCCACGACTATAAACACTTTGACGAGACGAGCGCAACTAGTTTGTGACGCACTGGACATCTTACGTGACGAAAACAAGTACCTTGAACGTGTTTTCACAAGAACAACTACTACGCTGACTTTATTAAACGAAACATTTACCGATCTGCTGAAGCTGACGCAACGAACTGGAACCCGACGCCTGTTACTACAGTGTTTATACCTTACATAAAGGGCACTTCTGAGACCATCTCACGGATCCTACAGTCCTACAACATCCGTGTAGCCCACAAACCTACAACTATGTTACGACACTTGCTGACCAACGTTAAAGACAGGGACGAACCCAACCACAGACAGGGAGCAGTTTACAAGATCAAATGCTCCGACTGCCAGGCTTCCTACATTGGTGAGACTGGCAGAAACCTTAACATGAGACTGACTGAACACAAACGAGCCACGAAAAATGGTAATGCCAACAATCACATTGCTGTACATCATCAACTGACAAACCACAACATTGACTAGGGACTCTGCTCACTGCTTAACCTATAGCACAAACTATTTTCAACGACTGACTCTGGAAAGCTGGTACATTAACTTAGAACAAACGCCTCTTAACAGATGTCAACAATGAACTACCGGCGCCTTCAAACGACTTATCCACGATGGAAACGAAACCGACAAAGGGACTTCTAACATACCGACTTAATTTGACGAACAATACACGGACCAAAAACCGACCAATTTGACTAACAATAGACGGATGGAAACCGACCAATGAGTGATGACAAACTTTAGACGAGTCTTTCAGCCAATACCATTATGGCTAATCTGACCAATCACTTTCAACGGACCAGACTTATAACATCATCGACTAACAAACGCTTTTCACTTGACTGTGAAGATGACTTCCGCTCAGGTTGTCGAAACGTCAGTCACCAGCAACAGTTCCTTTTAGAACTACCCTCACCCCGACGATCACACTATGCGAACTTCTGAAACTCCTGGGTTCAAACCATTTACTATGAGCCAACTGGAATAAAATTCGTAAGACTTACGTCATTTATCCAATTAATATTATATCATTAGACGATTGTGACTAACTATCTAATAATACTGGTAGTAATCGTAGATTGAAGAGTGCGTTCGAGTACTGGTAGGTTTGGTATGTTAAAAAAGCAAAAATTCTAGGAACAGCATTTTGTGCCTGAGCTGTTAGGTTCAGCAGGGGCGAAAACAAATGAACTGATCGCAAAGCACGTGGATACGAGAGGGTTTGTTCTCGTTTATACATGTATTCAGTAATATTACGACTGGTCAGTATAAACCACGGACTGTAGTCGCTATGCCGCATGTAATCTGCAGTCCGCGTTTTATACCTCAGTCCGTGTGTTATATCCAGTCTGTAATGCTTAGTCCGTGTTTTATATCTCAGTCCGTGCAAGTATGCTCTAATGAATTGCGAAAAGGACAAAAATTTATTAATCACCTTGTTTCTTTCATTTTCTCCTCTATTTTCTTAATTTTAAGTCACACAGATTTAGGCAATAAGACAAAAATCAATATTGGTTCATGTATCTGGTAATATTTCCATACTTGGTAAACCAGGCAAATGTCTGCTTGCAGATTTCAGTGTCCACCTGTAGAAATGACATATGTTTAATTTATTGTTTATTACAGTCAATTCAGGACTTAATGAAAATACAAGTTCAACGTACCAGGGGTGAAACAACATCTTATGGGTTACATGTACATTCTTTCACATACTTAATGCCAATTAATGTTATATCAATTGACGATTATAGACGATTGCGACTAATTATCTAATAAAAATATATTTTTCCCTCAAACTTGATTTGATGACAGCAAGCGTTGCCGTTGTCAAAGTTTGGAAAGAGAGAATAGGTTTTAGAGTGATAAAACTTTTCTTAAAATCTGCGGCCATCTGTTCTCGCGCTTGAGTTAAAGACAAGTTTCGCGGCATGCATTGCGATTACGTTCTGTGGACGTTCCGTGGCCTAGTAAACGACAGTGAGTCGTGGCACTGGAATTGCAAGAATATAAGTAGAGGAAATGGATTTGTGTAAAATATGGATACAGGAGTTCCTCAGCCTTTATTCAGTTTCAAAAAGATAATGACTCACAAGAAGCGATATCTGTGATGCAACTTTCGTTGATTTTATTGTAAATAGGCGCGATTTGTGGTGTTTCGGACTTCTGGAATCAGGGACCAGATGTATGGAGGACCGTATATTGCACAGAAGGCTTAATCGGTCAGCCTTATTTATTGGCCCTTGAGCAGCTTTGACTATGTTTATTAATGATATCAACATTGATCTTTGTATTCGGTTTGACTGGTGAAACAAGCTAGTTTCGTTGTTTTATTTAAGTGCTGAACATGGATAAGTACCGTTTATTGGTACAGGAAAACTAACAAACTTGGCTATTTAATTACAGTGGAACCCCGCCTTAATTACGGTCACCTCGTTAATAAGATCACCTCG